ACCAGAGCCCAGAAACGCTGCCCAGGACCCTGCTTCAAGGGCACTGAATGGGACACAGGTGGGACTCTGGCTGCTCTTTACAGGAGCCCTCGCCTCCGGCAGCTCCTGTATGTGCAGCTCCTGGGAAGGTGGCCCCGGCGGAAGTGGCTGGGACCCCTCAGTCTTGTAGGGTGATGAGACAGGTTGGTCCCAGCAATTCCACACCTCATGTGCAGTCCCCAACCTATGGCTTTGCCAGCCTTGACACACAGCCAAAGTCTCAGGGTTCCGTCTTGGTAGGCCCAGCTGGGGGCCCACGCTCTTGGCCCCCTTGTTCTTGCCCATGCCAGCCCTGCCCGGGGTGCCCCAGAGGCCAGGGGAGCTTTCCTGTGCAGCAGGTAGGACAAGGACTCAGAGGCTCCCTGGGGCTTCAACATGTAGGTGAGGGTCTGAGTTAAGCATGGCCGGGGTCCTCTCCCTGCCCAGGGGCCTCTCTTCCACTGTCTTCTGTTGTTGCTGGCTCAGGAAGAGGCCTGTTTTCCCACCGGCTCCAGCTCCTCTAGGGGGTGGACTCCTCCTCACACGCTGCTAGACCCCCCACACACACCAGCCCTTGGGCCTTCCCTGGTACATCACTGGCCCCCTTCCCTCTGCCTCAGCTGCCTACACCTCTGACCTCCCAAATCTTAGCTGGACTTCAAGGCCAAAGGTGGATGCCTACCTCCTCCAGGCAGCCTGCTGGGACTGACCCTCCTCTGGCCTCCTTGCAGTCAAGTCACAGTGCAGGCCACGTTCTTGGCACTTAAAGCAGCAAGGCCACTCGGGTGGGGGCAGACAGGGAGTGCTTGGAGGGTGCTTGCTTGGAGTCAGACATCTGCCCGTCACCCAAGCCCTCCCTTCTTAGAGCCCTCTCTTCATTAGGAAAGGAGGGGGTGGTGAAGGGAGGTGTGACCAGGGACCTGCAGTCACTCTTGGCCCCTGCCCAACAGGCTGGCCTCTCTGCCCCTTCCCGAAGGCAGGCGAGAACAGGGCACTAACAGCCTCCCAGCCTCCTCATATGCACCTCCAGGTCACCCCCCAGAGCTGGCCCAGCAGCTTGGCCCTCCCTGTTCCGCAGGCCAGAGTTAGGGACTCCCTGGCCGCCTCTTGTTTGCCTGCTCAGTGCCGGCTCCCTGGCAGGGCTGATGGCGGAGATGGAGTCAGGGAGACCAGCCAGAGCCACCCCATCTCACAGACTGTCGCTCGAGCTTGGGTGATAGAGGAAGTAGGCTTGGGCAGGTCAGCCTTAGTGGAGGAGGGCCTCATTGGGCCCTTTGCCCTCTGAACCTCAGGCTCCTCTCTGAGCAGGGGGTGACAGTCATGGACGGAGAGCACATGCTGCCGGTGCCGCTGAGCACTGGTGGGAGTGTCTCCACCTGACCACGCTGCTTGCTGGGCCCTGAGACACTGTGTCTTCTCCAATGAAAGGGTGAATGAACTCGGATAGGGGTGTGATCCCTCATGCCCCAGGGGTACCCCAAGGGAGGTCACTGGGGCTGTCCAGCCGGGGAGGCTTCCTCTAAGCAGATTGCCTCTGGAGGCGAGGTACCCCCACCCCCACCCGCACTGGGGATGCAGTGGCGTGCGTCCCGAACGCTTCCCACACCCTCCACTCTGACCCCGTTCCCTTTGGCTCCGCTTTCCCATTTCCCGCTTTGGCAGACAGAGCTTCTGGGAGAATCTTGCCCTCCTCCCGGCCTGGGGGTGGGGTGCAACAGATGGAATGCGGGAGGGTGCTCCCAGGCTGGCGGGCTGCTCAGACCCCCCAAACCCAGCTGCACTGACCCCTTCCAAGGGCAGCCCAGCATCCGCACAGCCGGGCCAAGGCAAACGCGCCCCCGCCCCCAGCGCCTGGATTGCCTGCCTGGGGACAGGGCTCTGGGCTGGCCCTGCCCTACACAGCTCTCTCCAGACCTCAGGTCTGCTTCTGGAGCCGGCAGGGGCTGCAGGGACATGCGTCCTGTCAATCTGCCCCCTGCTCCCTGGGAGCTACATTCCTACCGGAGGGCACACCCCCAGGTGTCGAACTTGGCACTCCAGGGGAAGGAAGTGGGGCTGGGCAGGCAGCGCGCTTCCCCAGGTGGCAGGGAAGGAGAGCAGCCCAGGGGCTGTGGCTTGGCGGGGTGTCCCAGCACTGCCTTTCTTGGCCTTATGGGAGCACAGCAGTGGGTGGAGCTGGGGGTGGGGGGAATGCTGGGTCTTCACAGGAAGCCAGGCAGGAGTTATCTTCTATGTGTGTGTTAGAGGGAGGGCACAGAGGGCCCATGGAGGGGCAGCATGAGGCTGGTGCCAGTGGAACCAGTGGGGGCGGACAGGCCAGGCTCCTGGAAACTTGGGGCCCTTGGCGCCGTCCTGTGGTTCAGACCCACGAGACATTGGCTGAGCTCAGTGCTTGGCTGGGAGCTGTCGCAAGCCCCTGTTTATGCCATAATCTGATCTAAAGCGTGCCCCCGCCCCATGCCTCCTTCTGGCCTGAGTGCCTCCCTTGGCCTGAGGGCCGGCCCAAGCAGGGCAGGCTTTGCCATCAGCCACCCCCACCCCAGAGGAAGGTGGTGATGATGGGGAGTCTGGTCATTCACAGCCACCCCCAGGCTATCTTTCCACCTCCTCACATCTGGGACCTGATCACCCCACCCAGCTGGTCTGCTGTGAGAGGGCCTGGGGCTTGGCCCTGCCGATGGTAGGTTGTCAGGAACTTGGCTGGACACAGCCTGGAGGATAGGGTAGGGGCTGCCACCCTCTTGTTTTCTGCCCACATAGCCCTTTACCAAGTTCAGAGGCACCCTCGCCCTCCCCACGGTCCAGCTGGTGGATGGCACTGCCCAGCACACACATGGGGGGGCCAGTGCCTTCCCTGCCTGCCCCCTCTCCACGGGGCTGTGCCTGCCGACAGCGTGAGGGGTGTGGATCACATGGTGGGAGGTAGGGGGGCTGTGCATCCTGCTTTTAAATGACGCCCCTGCCTGCCCCGCATGCTCCAGCTCTGCCCGTAAAGGGGGTGGTGCAGGGGTCCCCAAGGGTGAGTGGGCAGCACAGGCTTGGGGTAGTCATGGGATGCCATCACGCCGTGGGCCTCAGGCCTCAGATGTCACTGGCTGTGCCTCCCTCTCTGCAGTCCCTCCCGACTCTTCTCACGTCCATCCGTCTGGCCGCACGGCAGCCTCTGCCAGACTACCTTCCCTGTCAGCTTCTGTCTGCTCCCAAATGTCACTTTCCCCAGGAGCCCTCCCCAGTGCCTGCCAGGTCCAGCACCCTGTCACAGGCTTTGCACGTTGTCACCAAAGCACTTGTACTTGTTCAGTGGCAGGTGCTCCTGGAGGCTGGGACCCAGCAGAATAGTAGAACCCTCAGAAGAAGGTGACTCGGATAGGGGGTGAGTGCGTGGATGGACAAAGGTGGGGCAGTGGATAAGCGCTTGGCTGCTCACTGAAAGGTCGGCAGTAGGAACCCGCTAGCTTCTTCGTGGGAGAAAGCTGGGGCAGTGTGCTTCCGTAAAGATCACAGCCTTGGAATCCTACGGGCCAGTTCTGCTCTGTCCCCAGAGTCACTATGAGTTGGAACTGACTCAGTAGCACATAACAACGTGGATGGATGGATGGATGGATGGACAGATGTGGGGAGTGGGCAAAGAAATAGATTGTTGAGTGGGTGTATGGATGGGTGGGTGGCTGGTGGATGACAGATGGTTAGGTGGATGGACAGACAGATAAATGGCTGGCTGTCACCTGGCTGGAGCTCTCACCTTGGCTGCACATGGGGTGGGTACCCTGTGGGGGCAAGAGGCAGAGCCTAGTGGGTGGGAAAGTGCAGCTCCGAGGACAAAAGGGAACTGTAGGGGCTTTTGCCGTAAGTGCGCTTCCTTACCCCCCCCCCCGCCTCTTGGGCCAGATCGGATTGATTTTTTTATGAAAATGTAATTGTTGAAAACTTTAGATTTCAGCGTTGTTGATGGCTCCAGCTGGTATCTGTAATGGAAGGAGATGGCGTCTTGATTTTAGGGGCAACTCCTGGGTGGGGCAGTGTCCCGAGAGGAGGGCGCGGCCCGGAGAAGACAGCTCCCTGCCACAGCAGCGCCGCCACGTGCCCTCGTCCTCTCTCCTTGGTTCCGGAGTTGGGGTGCCTGGGGGAGACAAGGGCCTGCATTTGTGACTCATCCTGTGCCCCAGGCCTGCTCTCTACCCTTCATGGCACGTTTCCCTCTGGTGTTACTGAGCACCGGGGGCAGGTTGTGCTGACCCTGTTGTGTTAGCCAGGCTTCTGCAGAGAAACGGCCATGAGATACACATGTCCGCATGGGAGCCCCCAGGCGGGGTCAGCATTAAGCTCTCAGCTGCTAACCAAAGGTTGGAGGCTTGAGTCCACCCTGAGGCACCTCAGAAAGGGCTGGTGATCTGCGTGTGAAAAACTAAAAGCCCACAGTGGCACATAGTTCTGCTCTGAGCCACGTGGGGCCGCCAGGAATCGGGGTTAACTTGACGGCACTTGGTTTGCAGGTCTGTCAGTTACTGTAAGGGACTAAGTGTGGAAGAGGACAGTAGACCCCCCTTCTGAGGATACCACTTTTCTGGGCTCTGGGCTTTCACCAGCTCCTCCTCGCCTGGTCACGGGCTGTCCAGGGATAGCGGGATTTTGTGGTGAGGGCTGGCTCCTCGTACGTAGCCTCTGCTGTGTCTCTGGTTACTGGGTGGGCCAAGGGCAGCAGTGGTTCTAGCCCTTGGGGCTGTGGGTGTACCTATGTGCCGCCTACAGCCTTTGTGCCGTAGATACCCCAGAAAAGGCCATATGGGACCCCAGTTCCCTGGTGATGGGGCCTGAGTCATGCAGAAGCCCTTCACGGCTCCGCAGCTTTCATTTGATGCCTGTGAGTGGGGACCGCTTGTGTGTTGAGGGTGTGCACAGGGGTGCAGCCACACGGGGCCGGGGACCGTGGTGCTCAGAGGCTGGCTTTTGCCCTGCTGTGCCTCCAGGCGACACACTCTCTCCCTGCAGCCTGCCTGTCCCGCATCAATGCCCTCTCACTGGCCTACCTGCTGTTCCTGCTGCTGCTGCCCTGGTTCGAGGGCCCCACCCCACGAAGTGTCCGAGGTAAGCGCCTACCCGCCCAGGGCTGGCTTCCCTGCTCGCCCAGGAAGAGGGGAAGAGGGTCTAGGTGCCCAAGAGGGAAGAACATAGACCCTGGAGAGGGACAGAGTTTTCCCTACAATTCTGAGTAAAGGATGAGGCCCCGCCATAAACTTGTCCACCATAAAATCGACTGGGGAGCCTTTCCTTCTGATGACAGCGCTCTCACCTGGTGTGTTGGAGGGGAGGGGCCGGAGCCCCGGGAAGCCCAGCCCTCCTCCAGGGAACAGGTCCCCACTGGGATGCCCTCTCCCTGTGGGGGTGCTCAGGTCCCACACTGCAGTCTGTTGTCCCTCTGGGCCCGAGGCTGCTCTGGTGGTCCCCGGCTCCATTCTCCCACCCCAGTGTGTGTGCACTGGCTGGCTCTGTGTTCTCTCACTGCCATGTGGAGCCATTGGTGTTGGTACTTGAGTCTACACTGGTCCCTGCTGGGCTTTGAGCTCCCAGACGCAGGGGCTCTGTCTTAACCATCTTCATGTGCAAAGAGTGGGATGAAAGGAGGTCCTAGGGCCACCATGCCCACAAGGGTCTGGGCAGTTGGGCCCTGAGGGGCTGCTACCATGTCCTCAGACCCCTATGTGAGCAGGTGGGCGAGGAGGCTGCCCCCAGCCCTTTTCTTGGCCTTCCTGGACCCGCAGACACTAGGGCGGGAGGGGGTGGGCAGCAGATGTCAGGGGCCTCCGTTCCCATCCTGGACCCTTGCACTGGCTCTCCGGATGAGGCAGCTACCTCTGGACCCAGCTTCTCTGGGAGCCAGCTGCTAAGAGAGCCTCCGGAACCTGCAGGGACCCCTGGGCATGGGGAAGGCCCTCAGCCAGTCCTGGAGGGGGAAGGAGAGGCACTGGGCCTGGAATGAAACCCTGGGAAAGCCAGCTGCTACCGCATGAAATCTGACTCCCATGGAGACTGGGCGTCAGCAGTCACCCTGCCAGCCAAGCTGAGGACCGGTACTGCTGAGACCAGCTGGGAGCACCAGCCCGTGGCCACTGCCTGCGAGGGGGCAGGGCTGGACATGGTCGAGTGGGCGCCCCGGGGCCACAGGGTGGGAGGCACTTCCTGTTACTGCAGAAACAGACAAGCCGAGTGTTGTAAAGGCCCACGTTCACTCCCGGGTCTGCAGAGCAGGCTCCCCCCAGTCCCACAGGCCCCCCCCTTCCGGGGGCTCCAGTGGGGCCATTGTCTGGCCTGGGCAGCTTCTGGAGCGCCCGCGTTCCTTGGCTTGTGGCCCCTACCCCTGTTGCGGAGCAGCAGTGGCCACCTGTCCTCCTCCCTCCCACACACTCCTCTGCCTCCCCCTCTGGGACAAGCACCCTTGGGTTGCACTGGGTCCCTGAATCCTCCAGGATGCTGCCCATCTCAACAGCACTCAGCATTCCGTCTGTTACCTTAGTCCCCTTGCCATGTGACAGGACGGTCACAGCTTCCAGGGAGGAGGGTTTGGCATCTTTTGGGGCTGTCACTCTGCCACCCACAGGGTAAAAGTTCACCCCCTGGCCTACTGGCAGCTGGCCCTCCCCTTCCCCCAGGGCCCTTCCTGGCTCACGGCACTTTGCAGAGTGCCCTGGTCCAAGAGGAAGGAGAAATCAGATGTGAGGGGGAGGTCATTCTGTGAATGGCCCCCCTAGCTAGAGCCCCTCAGGACAGCTGCCTCAACAGCTGGGGTGGGGGCTGCCTCAGCTGGGCTGCCCAGTCCACAGCTGGGGCGGGGGCTCACTGGGACTGGGTGTGGGTAACTGGGCATCACCATCTCACCCCTCCCTGCTTCTCAGTGTGGAGCCCCTGTGCCCCCAGCTTAAAAGCCATTTGTTCCGTAAATATTTCATGCCCCGAGTGCAATTGGAAACGCCTCACTCAGATCCACTGTGGAGAAATTGGGCTCTCTGTCCAGATCCAGGAAGGAGGGGGCTACTGGGAAGGGGAAAGCAGGCCTGCTGCCTGACACCCTCTGTCCGTCCATCCCTCTATCTTCAGAGGTCCTTTGGGGACACTGCCTGAATTTTCCGGGTGGGAGGAAGAATTTGTGAGACTGGCTGTGGAAGCCCCTGGGCAGCGGGGTATGACCAGAGGCTGCCAGCCTGCCTGTCAGGCCTGGAAGGTCTGACACTATCCAGGGGCCTGTGGGCTGGCCCAGGCCTGACAGTCGGCTCCTCGATGGACACCCAGTGATGGTGCAGGGAGGGAAGAGGCAGGGCGTGTGCTCGGGCAGGTGTGCACACCCAGTGATGGTGCAGGGAGGGAAGAGGCAGGGCGTGTGCTCGGGCAGGCGTGCTCGGGCAGGTGTGCGGCAGGTGTGCTCGGGCAGGTGTGCTCGGGCAGGTGTGCTCGGGCAGGCATGTGCAGACGCTCCTCAGAAAGTTCAGGCCTTCCTCAGGACAGGGCCTTATGTGCAGTCATGTTGTCAGAGGCCGAGGTGTCCGGAGTGTGGCGACCCTGTCAGCATTTAAGGGGCTCAGGGGAGCCACAGCTTGGCCTTGGCACAGAGAGCCCACCCTTGTGATCACCACCCTCCTATCTGCGTCCTGCCCTCAGCCTTGACTGAATCCTTGCGGGAAGCCTTCCAGAGTAGGCTGGCTGGCCCCCGCCCCCGCTTCCCGCCCAGCTGGTACTTCCATCACTGTGGCTGCCACTGGGCCAAGCTGACACGGTGCTGGCTCTCAGCTCTGCATTGGCTGTTGCAGATGGCGCTGGGGCTAGGGCAGCTGAGGCTGGGAGTACTTGGGCCTCCGCCCCCTCTGCTTTCTGCCCTCAAGCTGTTTTGTACACTCTCAGAGACCCTTGGCTTCCTAGTCTGTGAAATGGGAGGGCAGTGACTCCCACCTCCTGAGTTTTTGGTAAGGGTGACAGTGAACAGTTTCCCACCCGCAGAAGTACAGGCCCCACGGGTGGGTTTCATCCGTCCTCAGTGTGTGTGAAGGGGAGAGGACCTCCAGCCAGCCACTTGTCCTGGGCAGGGGCTCATTAGCTGAGATGTGGGCTTTTCCGGGTGTGGCTGTCTGTCCAGCTGCTTCTAGGCCTGCCTCTGCCCAGCCCAGCTCCACCACTTCCTGAGGGTCCCTGCCTCCTTACTCCAACCCCAAAGTCATCGTCCTTCTAGCACCCCTACCCCCACCAAGCTTCAAACCCCTTGCCCCAACCCTCGGGCTCTGCAGCCCCACTCACCGAGCCCCCAGAGCCCTGCTCACCTTTCCTCCTGCCACTGGGCCTTTACCCAGGCTGCTCCCTCTGCTCAGCCTGCCCTCCATCACTCCAGGGAGTGGCCACTTCCTTTGCTTCATGCCCCTGTCCCTCACAGACTGGGGCATTGGGCACCACAGAGGCCACCCCTCATGGTGACTGCTCCTCCACACCCTGTGACACCCACACAGTCTCAGCCTGGTTCAGGGGCGGGCAGAGTGTTTCCTTCTCTCTGCCTCTGTGCCCCTGGCTCACTCATGCTGTCAGATGGGCAGGGCCAACCTCCGGGAAGCCTTTCTCTTGCTCCCTGTGCACAGCAGCTCATCTCTGAATCCAGGCCACAGCAGAGCCCAGCCGGCGACTGTGATGAGGGCGACTGTGATGAGAACGGGAGGTCACTATGGTTACAGAGCCCCACCAACTTCCTGGGGCGGGACTCCTAGGACCCCACATCCATGCTGGTGTGTGTCTCAGCTGAGAACCAGAGAGTCTACCCTGGGCCCTGAGCCTGACCCACCCGCTCTGGCTGCAGGTCACACCGGCCGCCTCCTCCGGGCCCTGCTGTGCACCAGCCTCCTCTTCCTGGCAGCCCACCTGGCCTTCCAGATCTGCCTCCACACAGTGCCCCGCCTGGACCAGCTGCTGGGCCCCAGCTGTGAGTCGGGGGAGGAGGGGGAGCTGGCCTTTCTGAAGTGGCCTAGATGCTTGGGGACGGGCCCCTCGGCTACCCTGCCTCCCCAGGCTTTGCCTAATATGGGCGGCCCTGAGCACGGGCCACAGTTCTTGTCCAGGGCCCACAGCCTCAGGTTAGATGGTCCCATTAATAACCTGGCCTGGGACTGGGGCTTAGCTAATCCCCGAGGCCGGAGTCCAGCTCACAGCCCTGGCCCCTCCACGGCCCCTCCCTCTTGTCAGCACCCTCTTCTGGTTCCCTGGCTGTCCTCGGGCCCAGAGGCCCGGCAGGGTGGCGCCCTCTCCTCGGGGACAGCACCTCCTGTTGGCCCCTCTGGCCTGCCTGGTGCCAGCTCGCCCTTAGCGATGCCCAGCCCCCACACTGGTTCCCATGCCCCCACCTCACCCCCTGGGCTTTTGACGGTGTCCGCCCTGCTTTCTCCTTGGTTCTGGTTGACATTCCCCTTTTGCGGTTTGGAACTGAAGCCTAGGGTGGGCCATGTGCCAACCAACTGTACCCCCAGCACCCCGTCACCCACACTGGGTAGCAGCTGTGGGATTGTGATTGGCCCCCAATTTGGTCAGCTTCCTGTGGGGTGGGGGATGGGGTGTGATTATGGCTTGGAGGCCCAGTGTGCCCACCTCTCCCTGCCAGGTTGCAGGTCCCTGTCCTGCCCTTAGGACTGGCGTGGCTGTCCTCTGGCTGGGCCTCAGTTTCCCTGTTGTAGAGGCAGTGGGGCCGAGAGCTTGTGAGCACCCCAAGACTGGTCATGGGTCCTAGGCAGTGCCCACCGGTGGCCTACACAGGGGGCAGCTGCCCACACACCCCCTGACCCGAGCTCCTCTCTGCTCTTCCCTGAAGGCAGCCCCTGGGAGACACTCTCTCGGCACATCGGGGTCACAAGGTAAGAGCCCCCCTCCACATGCCTGGGCTCAGGGAACCCCTCTGAGGGTTGTGCCCCACACCCTATACCCGCCCATCCTCCCCTGTCCAGGCTAGACCTGAAGGACATCCCCAGTGCCGTGCGGCTTGTGGCCCCTGACCTTGGGATCCTGGTCGTCTCCTCCGTCTGTCTCGGCCTCTGTGGGCGCCTCACCCGGGAAGCCCGGCAGACCTTGCACTCCCAGGAGTTGGTGAGGGGTGCAGGCGAATGGGCAAGGGGGGCGTGAGTGAGGGCAGGGTGGGCACTGCAGGGCTGGCGCTCCTGGCCAGTGTGAGGATGACGTTAGCTCCTCTTCCCTGTGAATGCACGCTTCACTGTGCAAGAGGGCATTAGCTCCTACAATAGACACAGAGCCCTGGGAGACAAGAGGTTAGCCCCGTGCCTGGGGCTCGCCAGGGTTGAAATTTGGGCCATGCCTCTGAGATCTGCCGTCTGGTGTCTGAGACCTCCCGAGGTTCATCTGCCCCTGGCAACTGCTTGCAGGCATTGTTGCAGGGAAGTCAGTCGCTGGGATAAATGGCCTTGGTGGCTGTGGATGCTGGGACATGCTGCTCATGGGGGCAGGGTGCTGAGCTCCCTGAGAGCTTAAGCCCTAAGTCACAGACCCCATCCCCGAAGCCCCAGGTGCTGGGGGACCCATGAGGTTTGGCCTAGATGTCCTAGCTATTAAGTAGCCTGATGAGCCCTCGTTGCCAGTGTCAGGCACAATTTATGACCTTCCAGGTGTCCAACACGAGGACCCTTGCCAGTGACTTGTCACCATGTAGGACTCATTTCACCCCTGGGCCCGCATCCCCCACCCACGTGTTGAGTGGGGCACCTCAGGCTCAGGGAGGAGAAGGGGCCTCCCCACAGCCATCTTGGCTGCCTCCTGCCAGTCCACGCTCACGCGCCCCTCCAGCAGGGGCTTCGAGAACAAGGAGCTGTTCCCAGTGTCTGTGGTGTCAGGCTCAGACAAGAGCCCTGCCTGCCCTCAGGCTCATGGGGGACGAGCGCACCCCTCTCCCTGCCTGAGCTGTCAGCCCCCCATCCCCGGGCAGGGTGCAGGCCAGGCGGCCTCTGGTTTCCCCATTAGTAGGTCAGGCTTCCTCCAACAGCTCTACTGAGCTATAGCTATCCCTGCAGCCTGGGGTGCTGGACTGGCTTCCGGGGAGGGGGAGGGTCTGCTCCCCATCCCGGGCTGCTGTCCATCCCTCAAAGCCCATCTGCCCTGCCCAGGACAGGCTGTGCTGTGGCGGCCATGGCCTTGAGGCAGCTCCTGTTCTGAGCCCCAGTGGCCCCAGTATCAAATGAGAGCCTGTCCTATGCTGGCCCGTGGCTGACCTGGACAGATGCCAGTGCTGGCCCCTGAAACCCAGGCGAGGCTGTGGGCACCCAGCACAGGCTCGACCATGGCACGGGCACAGTCCTGAAACCCAGAGAGCCCACCTTCGGACACCTGCTTGGTGGCTGACACACGCATGTGCACACACCCCAAATGCTGAGCCATGGCACATACGTGCGTGCACACACACAGCCCCTGGTCAGCAGACCCATGGGACATACGTGCGTGCACACACAGCCCCTGGTCAGCAGACCCATGGCACATGTGTGCTCACGCTCTCGTGCACCCCCACACCCCCTGTACCCCCACCTTCATCCATCCTCACAGGAGGCCTGCTACCCATGGGATCCACACCAGAGCTCGTGTGGGACACGTGTGCTCCCACTCCTGTGCATACACACCCTCTGGCATGTGTACAGAACACCCACATGAGCTCTGGTAGCCTGCTATGGGGATGAGCTGAGGGGACCTGGGTCTCCAGGGCAGCATGTGGGGCCTGTGAGTGGCCTGGCGTGGGGCCCAGTGGCTGCCCCCAAGCACCTGTCTTTCCCTGCAGCTGCTGTGCTGTTCTTCCCAGTCCTAGAAACTCCCATTTCCCATAGCCCTTCTTCCGGGGCTCTCAGAGCCTGGGCCAGGCCGGGGTGGCCCCTTCTCCAGCCTCCCACCCCCACCAGGCTGGCAGCTCACTTGCTGGGGCCAGCAAGGAGAGAGCTCTAGGAGAGGACCCTGGAGGGAGAGCAGTGCCTGGGCGTCGGATCCCGGCGGGCAGTGACTGTGGCCTCAGAGAGGGGTGGGTGGGACGCCCCAGATCCCAACCCTGCTCCTGGCTTAGCCACCCTTACCTTCGTCCCCTCCTTTAGGCCTCCCTGTGAGGCCAGGGCCTTTCTGGTTTATCTCCCCTCTCAGAGATGCAGAGGGGTCAAGCGACTTGCCTCAGGCCACGCCACCAGGGCTGGCAGAGCTGGGATCGGAGGACCAGGTCTGGTGCTGCACTTGGCTCGGCCACCACACTTTTGCACCTTGACTCTGGGGAGAGCTGGTGCCTGTTGCACAGATGAGGACTCTGAGCCAGTCAGCAGCCAGGCAGAGCTGCAGCTGATGCGAGCCGGGGCCCCTCCTCCACACCCCAACCTTCCCCAATGCGTGGGAATGGGAGGCGGGGCCAGAACGCACCCACTGGGTCTGTCCCTTCCCTTGGGACAGACCTGTGTGAGGTCAGAGTAGGCACGGTGGGGACAGTGTCAGGCAGGCTGCCACCCTTGTCACCAGAGGCCAGGAGGGGAAGGGACGGCCTCTGGGCTCCAGGCTGACTGGCTCCTGGGTGGGGCACCAGAAGGCAGGGTCCCACCCGGAGGAGCTGGCAAGGGGCAGGTGGGAGGGGGCTCGAGGGATGGGACACGTGGGAAACCTTGACCTGACAGTTCCTGCAGGACCCGCCTCACTGCCCAGGGGCCTGGGAGGTGGGAAGAGGGGGCCAGGTGGCCCAGCTCAGTGGCCTGGGCCAGTCCTCCTCTCTGGCCTTGGTCTCCTCGTCAATCCCAGGGGGCTGCAGTGGCTCTGAGAGGACGCTCTAACCCGTGGAGTGCTGTGTGCAAGGGGATGGGCCCATGTGCACGTGACACCCCTTCCTTTCTTGGTGAAAATTCCCACAGGGTTCTTCCTGAACACCTGCCCTGTGCCAGGCACCTGGGGCCCGAGCTGCCTGCCTGCACCTGTAGGGCCTCGTGGGAGAAGCCGGCTGGAGTGGGCACTTGAGATGTTGCAGGACAGCCCCCAGCCAGCCTGCCGCGCTCAGAGCCATTTGGTGTGCCAGGACTCGGCAGGACTGGGCATGGGGGCTGCTCTGGGAAGGCCTGCAAGCGTGGGGAGTTGAGCAGGCTGGGTGGCAGCGGACCTCGGGTGTGGAGACCACATGGATGAAGGCCACAGGCCCCCAGCCTGTTGGGGGAGATGGTGGGTGTGTCCCGAGGGGCCAGGCAGGATCCCATGGGGCGGGGATGCAGTAGCAGGTATTGGTACAGGCGCTGTGCCAGGCTGGCAGGACCCTCAGGCGGGGCCTGAGTACCAGTGCTCCCGGTGGGGGCTGAGGTGGCCCACGTGCCTGACCACTATCTCTTCCCTCCCACTCCTGGCAGGACAATGATGACAGGGAGGTCCAAGTCGACCCCAGCCCCCTGGTGGACTCTTGGGGTGCCCCTGAGCCAGCCCCCAAGTTGAGGTCGCGGCTGGCTGCCTGCTTCCAGGTCACGGCCCACTGGCTGCTTGTGGCTGTGGGGCGGGTCTTGGTCATCATGCTGCTAGCGTTGGCAGGTACCTGGAGGTGGGGCAGGGCGGAGTGGGTTGGGGCCCCAGAGGTGGGGTGGGAGGGGGCGGGGCGGGTACCGGGAGTAGGGTGGAGAGGGGGTGGGGGCCTGTGCTGCCCAGGTGAGCGCCACACTTCCTCCCTGCAGGTATCGCCCACCCCTCGGCCCTGTCCAGCATCTACCTGCTGGTCTTCCTGGCCATCTGCACCTGGTGGGCCTGCCACTTCCCCATCAGCTCCCGGGGCTTCAGAGCCGTCTGTATGCTGGTGGGCAGCTTCTGTGCTGGCCACCTCCTCTGCCTGTACTGCTACCAGGCACCCTACGCCCGGGAGTTGCTCCCACCCTCCAGCATCTGGGCCCGGTGAGCCACCGCTCAGGCCCCAGCCCCCACCCACCAGGCCCACATCCCCTCACGCTGGTGGCCGGTGACGCCCTTCTCTGTGGCAGGGTACTTGGCCTCAAGGACTTGGTGAGGCCCACCAACTGCTCCAGCCCCAACGCCCTGGAGCCACACCCCGGCCACGACTGGCCCGTCTACGTGAGCCCTGGGCTGCTGCTGCTGCTGTATGGCACCACCACGTCGCTGCTCAAGCTGCAAGGACGCCTAAGCCCGGCCCAGGTGAGCCCGCCCACGTGGCCGGCCTGGCTCCCGGCAGCGGGCTGTCTCCTGGGAGCTGACCCCATCTCGTCCCTGCAGAGGAAGGAGGCAGCCAGCGAGGACGAGGAGCGGGACGTGGAGCTGACCGAGGTGGACCAGTGGCCCCAGGGCCAGGTGAGAGCCACTGCCGAGGAGGAGGAGGGCCCAGTGAGGGCGCCGGGCCCTATGGGGTGGTGGCCCCACGCGGCCTGGGTGCTGCCCCCACGCGGCCTGGGTGCTGCCCTGTCCCCTGTCTCTGACCTCATGCTGGTGCGTCCTTCCCAGCACCTGAGGGCCCCCACGCCAGAGATGGACGCAGACAACTGCATTGTGCATGACCTTACGGCCCAGAGCCCTGTCCGGCAGCGCCCCTGTAAGTACATGCAGTACAGGCTGCCTGGGACCCAGGATGGGGTCTTACGGGCAGATACCTTTGTCCTCCACTGGCACACCCCTCCCAGGCTCCCCAGGCTGGGGCCAAGTGCTGCCCCCTGGTGGCCGCAGCCTCAGCCCCCTCCACCGTCTCTCCTCCACCCACCCAACAATGCAGTTGTCCGCGTCAGTCTCCTTGGGGCTGCATCATGCTGAACCCCAAGACCCCACACGGACTTCCAGGTCTCTCATCCCTCCCCACCTGCCTCTCGGTTTCAAGTGAACTTGACCACTTGGATTTAGACTGGCACCACTGGGAACAGCTGCAGATGGACCAGTGTCTGGGCCAAGGTGGACCCTGGCAGGTCCTGGCCTGAAACTATAGGTGTCGGCACCGTCCACAGAGGCAGGGGCAGGGGACTTTCTGGGTGTACTTCAGTCTTCACTCTAAGCCTTGATCTCCACTCTAGCTTGTCCTTGAAAGTGAGCTGCCCTCAATGGGAGCTGGAGGCCTTGCCTTCGGGGTGCCCTGTCTCAGGGGCCTAGGGGCTGTGTCAGAGGGGCAATGTCAGAGGGGCTGGGCCTAAGGCTGTCCTGAGGACAGAGCGTAGGGGCTGAGGGCAGTCGTGGCCATCCTATCTTGTGTCTTGGGAACCAGGAATCAACAGTCGGGAGCAGGGTCAGGCCCCAGGCCCAGGGCCCTCTGCTCCGTGCGCACCCTGACTTGTCTTGGGCACGGCCCCTCCCCTGCGCCCTGCCATCCCAGCCCTGCTCTTGTCCACGTCTGTCTCATATGGGGGCGGCCTGGTAGCCGTCCGTGTGGTGGAGCTGCACAGCTTGAACTCCAGCTCCCAGCATGACCCTGGTCTTCCCCTAGTGCGCCACAGGCTGGCCGAGCACAGAGAGCCGTCCCCCCTACACAGCCTGGGCCGCTTCGTCATGGACCAGAGCTACGTGTGTGCCCTCGTTGCCATGATGGTAAGGACCCACAAGGCTGGACCCCTCAGGGCTAGGCCTTCACCACCAGCCTGGGGAGGAAGGTAGCCACAGTTCCCAAAGGGGAACAGCAGTGGTCTGGGTAAGCCAGCTTAGCCCTGTAAGCCCGCATGTGTGTGCATGCTGTGTCCCTGGGATTGGCGGGCAGGCAGGCAGCACAGCCCCCGTGTGCAGACACCATCTGCCCCGCCAGGTGTGGAGCATCACCTACCACAGCTGGCTGACCTTTGTGCTACTGCTCTGGGCCTGTCTCATCTGGACGGTGCGCAGCCGCCACCAGCTGGCCATGCTCTGTGCACCCTTCCTGCTGCTCTATGGGCTGGCGCTGTGTGTCCTACGCTACGTGTGGGCCATGGACCTGCAGCACGAGCTGCCCACCAGGCTGGGTCCCGTCAGCCTGCGCCAGCTGGGCCTTCAGCACAGCCGCTACCCCTGCCTGGACCTTGGCGCCATGGTAAGGAGCTGTGGGGGCCACGGGCTCTACCTAATGACCCACAGTGTTGCCATTGTGTGAACCTGTGAGTGCAAACCTGAACCTACACATGTGTGTGTGTGAACCTGTGTGAGCAGATATGAGCTTGTGTGCATGTGAACCTGTACATGCAGATGTGAACCTGTGTGTGTGTGAACCTGTACATGTGGATGTGTGAACCTGTACATGCAGACGTGAGCCTGTATGTGCATAACCCTGTACGTGCGGACGTAGGCCTGTGTGTGTGTGACCCTGTACGTGTGGATGTGAGCTTGTGTGCATATGAACCTGTACATGTGTGTGCATGACCCTGTACATGCAGACGCGAGCCTGTGTGTGTGAGGACCTGTACATGTGGACGTGTGAACCTATATGTGCGGATATGAGCTTGTGTGCGTGTGAACCTGTATGTGCAGATGTGAACCTGTGTGTGTGTGAACCTGTACATGTGGACGTGAGCCTGTGTATGCATAACCCTGTACGTGTGGACATAGGCCTATGTGCGCGTGACCCTGTATGTGTGGATGTGAGCTTGTGTGCATATGAACCTGTACATGTGTGCGCGTGACCCTGTATGTGCAGACGCGAACCTGTGTGTGAGAACCTATACATGTGGATGTGTGAATCTGTATGTGCGGATGTGAGCCTGTGTGCGCGTGACCCCGTATGTGTGGACCTGAGCCTGAGGGTATGTGAACCTGTTCGTGCGGATGTGAGCTTGTGTGCATGTGAACATGTACGTGTGTGGACGTGAGCCTGTGTGCATGTGAACCTGTACGTATGGACATGAGTTTGTGTGCATGTGAACCTGTACGTGCAGACGTGTGAACCTGTATGTGTGGACGTGAGCCTGTGTGCGCGTGACCCTGTACGTGTGGACATGAGCCTGTGTGTAACCTGTACATATGGACATGAGTTTGTGTGCGTGTGAACCTGTACGTGCAGACTTGAGCATGTGCGTGTGTGCAGAGCAGGAAGCTGGGTGTGTGTGAACCCGAGTATGAGCACATGTACCCATGCGTGTGCACAGAGGAATTTGTGCAGACGTGGGAGCCCGTTGGCCTGTGGGTGAGAACACCAGAGCTTGAGCTCCCGGGGGCTGCTCTCTGCCTGGGGTCCCTCCCCTGCCCCAGCCAAGTGGGCTCAGGGCCGGGAGGTGTGCTGGGCGGCTGGGCCACCACCACGGTGACCCTCTCCTTCCGCAGCTACTCTACACCCTGACCTTGTGGCTCCTGCTGCGCCAGTTCGTCCGAGAGAAGCTGCTGAGGAAGGGGCGCAGCCCGGCCGCCCTGAAGGAGGAGCTAGGTGAGCCGGCTGGGCCGAGGCTGGGAGGCACCCCGCCTGCCTGTGTCAGGGCCGGAGCCACAGCCCCCTCTTGTGGCGGCCTGCAGAGCCCACGCAGACACAGAGGCTGCTCCGGGGCCTGGGGGAGCTGGTGTCGGGAGTGTTCGCCAAGTACTGGATCTGTGTGTGCGCTGGCATGTTTGTGGTCGTGGGCTTCGCCGGCCGCCTGGTCGTCTACAAGATTGTCTACATGCTCCTCTTCCTCCTCTGCCTCACTGTCTTCCAGGTGCTGTGTGGGGTGGG